AGAGAGAGGAGGAAGCAGGCTCCCTGCTGAGCAGAGAGCCCGATATGGGGCTCGATCCCAGGACCCTGGGATCATGACCCGAGCCGAAGGCTGAGGCTTTAACCCACTGAGCCACCCAGGCGCCCCACCCTTACCTTATTTTTGAAGTATACCCCAGATATCAAGTCACATCATCCTTAAGTATTTCAATATGTCAGATGAACATGTAAAACCCTCCAACTCCAGGATTCTATGTTTCTCTCACTCCAAGACACAAGAAAATTGAAAAGTCCACTGACACTCAGAAAGTGAATTACATTCACCATTTATTCAACCACTTCTAGATAAACCAAGGGAGTTAGTGCTTGAACAATGTCTCACTGTCTAGTTCTTAGTGACACCTAGTGGATAAAAACTGCAACAGAAACAATAAAATTAAAAAGCATCTATTGTCATGATGTTGTAAGGGCAAAAGTTTGCAGGCTTAAAGTAGTTTAGGTCATCGAATTTCTTCAGTAGTTCAACTTCTAAGAAAAAACAACAGGGTATAAAAACTTTTTTTAAGTTTTGTAACATTTCAGGCTTTTCATAACCTGATTTGCTCCTACCTATCTAGCCTCATTTTCTGTTATTCTCCTCTGTAAATTATCAATTAGAATGGTTCCATCACTTATTCCCAAATATACGAAGCTCATTACATATTCTAGACTTTTCACTGTTCCTCCTATTTCAAAATTCTCTTGAATTTACCAATTCAATTCACCTTATCAATTCAAAATACACATACAGCGCAATTCCACCTCTACCAGGAATTCTCCCACAAATATCTCTTTGAATTTTAAAATTTTGAATTCCTGTAGCACAATTTTTCATTAAATACAGCAAATGTCTATATTATTATCTAATAGATTGGGGTCTGTTAGCTTTATATCTCTGCTTGGAAATATAACCCACGAAGGGTCCTATTTCACATTTCATTGGTATCTCTACAATGTTTAACAAACACAGTATATTCGAGTATCTGTGAACTGATGTGTGCTACTTATGTATTATACAGATGGAAGTAAAATCCTCACTAAGTGAGTATAGCTACGAGCACCATGAAGGCAACGACTGTGTCTTCATCAATGTTCTAGCCTTATACTTCACGCAGTGCCTGGCTCAATAAATATTTGCTCAACAAATTGTTCATAATCTTAAAATGGGAAACAAATGATTTATAAAATGATTACTACAAATCAAGCAATGTTATAGTTTGGAGCAAAGAGAAAAAAAATTTTTAAGTATTTCAATATAACATGTGCTTTTTAATAAGCTTTTCCCTATTGACACTAACAACACCATCAGATTTGCTTCATACTTATTATGACTGAGCACACAAGCAGTTACAAATCCTTTATTTTCACATTATCATCATTTTCTTTTTTCTTTAAAGATTTATCTATTTTAAAGAGAAAGAGAGCAAGCCTGAGTGGGGGAAGGGTTAGAGGGAGAGAATTTTCAAGCAGACTCTCCCCTGAGCCCAGAGTCACACACAAAGCTTGATCCCACAACCAATGAGATCATGACCTGAGCCAAAACCAACAGATGAGCACTCAACCAACTGAGCCACCCAAGCACCCCAAATAATCATCATCTACATTTTTGCTCTCCTCTCACTATCCCTAGAGATACCTTTTTTTTTTTTTAAGATTTTATTTATTTGACAGCAAGAGACACAGCAAGAGAATGAACAGAAGCAGGGGGAATGGGAGAGGGAGAAGCAGGCTTCCTGCTGGGCAGGAAGCCCAATGCAGGGCTCTATCCCAGGACCCTGGGATCACAACCTGAGCCGAAGGCAGACGCTTAATGACTGAGCCACCCAGGCGCCCCTCTAGGGATACATTTCAAATAAGATAAAGTATAATTCCCACAGCAGAGTTGAAGACTATGGTATTAACTGGACAAAAAGCTCATGGACACTAAGGAGAATTGAGTGCCTGGTGTCAAGTGATTTGAGTGGATGAACCTACTAATGGTAGCTAAGTTTTAAATAACAGATATGCAGGGGGTGCCCGGGTAGCTCAGTCAGTCAAGTGTCCAACTCCTGTTTTCAGCCCAAGCTCCACATCGGGCTCTGTGCTCAGCACAGTCTGGCTGAGATTCTCTTTCTCCCTCTTCCTCTGCCTTCCGCCCACACTCTCTCTCTCTAAAATAAATAAGTCTTTAACAAATAAATACATAACAGATACGTAAAATCAATTACTAGATATGTTACATTTTAAAATTCTAATTATGTTCCGAGTTTACTATACTATTATTTGATCTATAGATCTACTTATTATGATAATCAGATTAAAGGACAGAAAAGAGTAAAAAGAGACAAAAATAATGAATGAAATTCCCCACATACGTACCGTACCTATCTGCGACAGAGGTTAGGAATCAATTCTGTCCATATGCTACAAACAGAATAATTTACCCATAACACAATTCTAGTATAATTGGTGGGGGCGGGGGGAATCTCTGTTCTTTGACCTAAAGCTTTATCATAAGGTTTGACCCATACTTTGGCACCTTCCTTTAAATGATTCTAAACTGTCTTACCAAAAATAAAGAAATACAAAATATGTATAAAAAATAAACATTATTTCATTATTCACCACTTTACAATGGTAAAAAAAAAAAAAGGTAATTAAAAGTGAAGTTGAATATGATTATCTCCTAATCTCTACTTCATATCCTAGATAGATCCTGTATCTAAGAAAAATCATACACATAAAATGAATACGTACTTACAGCCTGGGCTTGTTGTTGGAATAATTCATTCTGATTCTCTCTATCACCAATTCCATCCCCAAGCATCTGGGAAGGAGGTAACCCAGCACTTCCAATAGCAGCATTCAAGTTGTCTGGAAAAACACTTGTTCTTTTAGGAGTTAAATGTGCTGCATCTGAAGACTGCATGGCTACAGAGCCTTCTTTTTCGGCCTACACAAAGGAAGAAAGTGAGATTCTTCTAGTGAGGTTCCACTCAAGCCATTACAATCATATAATGTCTATAAGCAGCCCCAAAGATTTTAAATTAGGGTGGGGGTAGAAAGGAAGAAGTTTTAGCAGGCAAAGAAACTAATATTTATCAGGCACCTACTACATGCTAACAATTTACTTACCTAATTCTCATAACAACACTATGAGACAAGTATCATAACCCCATTTTATACATGAAGAAACTACAGTCCACAGAGGATAAGTGTAAGTATAAGTATAAGCCCAAGGTCACATAGCCAGCAAACAGCAAAGCCAAAATTCAAACCCAAATCCAAAATTCTGACATTGATTTTATCTATTGGTAAAAGTAAAAAAAATTGTGAGTCAGAACAACACAAGAATAAAACAGTTTCTCTACATACAAATTTACTGTCCTCCCTAGCAATTACACAAAGTATGGGATCCAAAGAAAGTGATTCTGTTACTGCCTAACAGCTTATCTCGTAACACACACTTCCCATTCAATCTTTACTTAGGTTCACTTTGAACTTACTGCTTCATAAGATCTCTGAAACTGCTGCTTTTTTCTCATCCTGATTTGCTGATTTACTCGGCGTTTGACTTGTCTCTGAAAACGCTTCAGAGCTTCTTGTTTTTTTCTTAGCTGTTCCTTTAGTTCTTCTTCAATCATATATGCTGAAGTCTTGAAAGATGAAAGATCGAAAATAAACTTAAGTGTCAGCAGTTTTTGCCCACTAAGGCTCTGTTGTAAGCACAAATCAGTCAAGATAAAATCCTGACAAAATAATTCAGTTCTATAATCCAGAATTCCCAGTAGAGTGAGGAAATCACAGGAGTTCAGAGCTGATAATCTAGACATAGCTGGTGAGTACCAAGAACTCAAACCAAATCACAAACTAAAAACTGGAATTTGTGAGAACTCAAATCAAATCTTAATTTTTCATTGAGCTGACAACTAAAGTTGTCTTCATTAATTCTTAATGAACCAATTCAAACCTATCTTACATCACACATTTCCTAAAACTGCTCACCGCTCACTAAATATGTCCTATTGCTCACCACTCACTAAATATATCTTATTATAAAATGCTTTCACGCTCAGATTTATGCTCCATTTTTAACACAGCATGCTCTTCCTGTCATCTCTATCTAGTAAAGTAAAGTAAAGGCCTACTCTCATTCTTTAAGATCACCTAATACCCACCCACCTAGGACCTTCCACAATCCCTTCTTCTGAGCTCTCCTGTGCTATAGAACCTCTCATTGACATTAATTGAGAGCAACACTTCTCAAATCCCCCATTAGATTAGGTACACTTTGAGGACAGGAAATGTATTTAATTCTCCCTTGTTTCCCCTACAGTATATAACACAGAGCCTTGAATATAAAGGCACTCAATATTTATGTAATGTGCAATTCCAAAACATAGTCTAAACAATCTATAATAATTTTTCCCATTTGAGTCCCTGATCAGTATCCACTTTCTCGAAGTGCTCTGAATAACCATAGGCATCATAATTAAAAGCAATTAATCTGCTACAAGACAAGCGCTTTAACTACATTATATTACTGAATCCCCAACACTAACTCCAGTAGAAGGTATTCTTATCTCTTATATTAAAGATGAGAAAACTGGGGCTCAGAAAGATTAATCTTTAGTAGTAGCCCCAGATGCTCTCTATCACTGGCAAGTACCAGATCTAGAAGTATAGCCCTATACTACACTGTTTTTCTCTCGACTGTTTCTTTTTCAAAAGGAATCCTTAAATTAAATAAAATCATACTTCTCTTGAGCCCTTCTTCTAACACAGTGATTCCAAATTCTAGTTCAGAAGGTGCCCAAATATTTCATAGGCAGTCACTAACTCTTAAAATCAAATGAGCCTAAGTTCCAATTAAAATTAAATTTTCTGGGGCGCCTGGGTGGCTCAGTGGGTTAAGCTTCTGCCTTTGGCTCAGGTCATGATCTCAGGGTCCTGGGATTGAGCCCCGCATCAGGCTCTCTGCTCAGCTGGAAGCCTGCTTCCTCCTCTCTCTCTGCCTGTCTCTCTGCCTACTTGTGATCTCTCTCTGTCAAATAAATAAAATCTTAAAAAAAAAATTAAATTTTCCAAGAAATCTACCCCATACTCTATACAACTATATATCCATACCATAGGAGTACAGTGTACAAAACAAGTTTCAAAGAACAATTAGGTAAAACAATTGCAAAGGAGAGCTATAGGTAGTAAAGCCTGAACAACTGGCCGAAATTAACTCAAGTCCCAGAAGATTAAAGTCATCCTTCCTCTTTAACTTCCATTATCTGTCTGCTCCCTCTTTTAACTCCATACTGAGATTATCAAACATCTTACTGAAGTATATGACTGATTCCAAACTGTGAATCTCAACTGTAAACCAAAGATTAGAGTGTACCATATTTTAGAAACATATTTTTCGTAGCAAACACCATTGTTTAAGTCCACCAAAACCCAAGAACAATGTCCCATGTTCTGGAATGTTAGGAGACACCCAGAGACAGACAAATTTGAGAAATACAGGGTTAAGCAAAAATGAATACTGTTTCAATTGTACAACTAACTCCTCGTAGACTTTTTGAACCCTAAGGCTTATCCAAGGGGGCAATATATAGAATGAAGTGTTTCTCACAACAGCCAAAGAACATTTTTTGGATAATTCACACACGATGGAACTGCTATTTAGATTATACAGTAGTCTCCAAAGATGATCCCTTCTCCCCACAGTGAATCAAGCCTCCCAGTATTTATGCTCTTGCGTAATGATCTCCCATACTGAATGTTGTCTGGCTCTGTATATCCAACAGAATGAGGAGGAAGCACTGGTTCCATGACTTCTCCAGCAAGGTCATAAAGCAACTTCCACCTACAGCTCTTGTAGTGATCACCCTAGCAGAAACCAGCCACCATGTAAGAATTCTACCTTAAGATTACCAGGCTGAGAGGAAGCCCAAACTAGCCAAGTAGAGAGGCCACGTGGAAAGAGAAAGCGTCCAGCAAGCCCTAGCCATTCTAGTCATCCTCAACCAAGTGCCAGATATGTGAGTGAGAAAGCCATCTTGGACTTTACAACCCAGTAGATGCCAGATGAAGAACCAAAAATCCAACAACAGCCAGAACCAAGTAAACTTGTCCCAGACATCTCCAGCTGTTTTAGCTGTCCCAAATGAAGCTTCAGACACCATGTTGCAGACAAGCCATTCCCACTGTGCCCTGGTTGAAATCCTGACACACGGTATCTTTTGGTTTATGCCACTAAGATCCAGGTTTGTTACACAATAGATAACCAGATAAATTATAAAATAATGCAATAGCCATAAGTGCTGATAAAACAGCAATGTATTTTGATGCTAATTTAATTAATGGAAGGGGAGGGAGGTCTGAAGCTATGGAATTTTTAGGAATCTTGACAGCTCCTTGAAACTTTGGGGACAAAAATGATGAGGGGTTTCCCTTTAGCATAAGCATGATATTAGGTCTACCATGCTTTAGAATTAAGTATCCGGCATTTATTCTGAGTTGACAAGAGCTGTATCTGTTAATAAGAGTGGATTCCCCAGACAATGTATGCTAAACTGGTAAAGAGTTCTATGAGATGCTTGATCAAACAGCCTTTGGCTGGTACTGATTAGAACTTTTTTTTAAAGATTTTATTTATTTATTTATTTATTTATTTATTTATTTCTGAGAGAGAAAGAGAGAGAGAGAGCACAAGCAGGCAGAGTCAGAGAGAGAAGCAGGCTCCCTGTTGAGCAAGGAGCCCGATGCAGGACTCGATCCCAGGACTCTGAGATCATACCTGAGCCGAAGGCAGCAACTTAACTGACTGAGCCACCCAGGCGTCCCCTGATCAGAATTTTTTAAGTGAGGGAATGGAGATATGTTTATACTTTTTCCAAGACCTGCATTTTGATTTAATGTTTGGGAACATGAGATTCAATTCTCTTTAACATAGTAAAAGAAATTTGGGTGGTTTTTAGGCATTTTGATGCTACATTACAAAGATGTCATAATTTGAGCAATGAAAAAGAGGTCTCACTAATTTAAATACCAAAATATCTTCGTACCAAATCTTACTGTTTCTTCTGGGATACATGTTAAGACATTTACCCCTCTTCATTCCTACTTCAACCACCCTTTTTCGAGACTTTCCCTCTTTATTCCCTACCACTAAACAAGTCTTGATGCCATATTTCCTTGCTAAATTGTTACAATTACATCCTAATTTTGTCCCCCAGGAGCCAATCTATCCCTCACCTCAAAAAAATTTTGAAGCAATTAACCTAATCAAACACTCTTTTATTAAGAAATTCATATGTAAATATTAAACAATGAATGAAGTCAATCCCTTATCCAAAATTTCCTGCGGTTCCCTACAGCTCCTATTTTCTACAATTCTATCAACCACCATCCCCCCTACTCAACTTCCCACTCCAATCAATCTAATCTACCCTTAGAATCCTGATACACCTTGCTCACTTCCCACTCTCCCCATTCTTGAGAGAATCAATCATCCTCCTTCTGTAGCTAAATTCTTCATTAAACTTGCCTGAATCACATCAACCCAAAGTCCTATCTTTCTTCTTTAAGTATCAAAGTCAGAGCACTTAATCATATACTACTTACGTAAAATCCTTTCTAGAAATAGGCAGAAGAGGAATAAATGAATTATGTGTGTACATATGTACAAAAAATAAAATTAATGAATATATGACATTGCTTTGCTATTTAACATTTGTTTTAAACATGTCTCATTTCTTCTCTGAGATCAAGGACAACTCATATTTTTCATCGTATGTTCAGCATTTTGTTGATACAGTCAGAAGAACCTTCACACAATTTGTGCATTCCACTTATTAGGCATCAAGATAAAGTTGGGGGAATGATAATAAATGACATTTTTCCTGTGCTCTGGAAGTTCACACTCCATCAGGAAAAGCAGATATGTAAACGACTTACTATAAATATAATGTGGGAAATGCCACAATAAAATTTCAACAAATAGCTAAGGGGCACAGTATTGTGAAAGACTATCAAAAATACTCTTACAAAACTATCCTCCTGTGTCAATTAGCACATATGAGTTATTATGTAAACAGGCACACAAGTAAGCTTTGCAAAAGTTTCTTTTCATCTGAAATGCTGTTCCCTATGATCTGTACTTACAGCATTTCCATTTTTTAAGGACTAACATGGACTATATTTCCACATCCATTCATTCAATGAGTATTTCCTTAAGACTTACTATATGATAGGAAAGGAAGGAACCAAGAAATAGAAGTTCCCTGTCCTCATGAAATTTATAGTTAAACTTTCTCAGAATCCCAGTCAGAATTAATCTGTTCTTTCCTTATTCTCTGTGTCTTTGAATCTTCCTGAATCTCTACGACACTTTACTGACTTTAAGCAATCAGCATTTTATTAAGTGTGGCAACTGTCATCCCTACTACGTTGTAGGGTGTCTGCAAGATACAGACAGTACCCATGTCTTGTGTACAGCAAGCAATCAAGAGCTTGTGAAATTTAAAAAAAAAGGGGGGGGGCTGTGAAATAATTTTGGCAAATAGGTGTTTGTTCTACAATCCTAATTCAAGAACATACCTATTTCCAGTAGGAGAGAAAGGACATCCCCAGATAGGACTCTTCATCCTTACCTAAGCACCAAGGGTTAGAGAAGGCTAACACGGGGGAAAAAAAGAAGGAAAGAAAAGAGAAATGGGGGAGGAACCCCACTACATTTGCATCAAACTGACACTCACATATGCTGGGACTTCCGAGCTATCTGGCAAGGCAGGTTCCACCCATGCCCCAACTGGCATTATAGCCTGGTTCCTCTCAGCCAGCACGGCCAACACGTCCTTGCTCTTCAGGGGGTTTAAGGCCAGAGGCACCCTGGCGGTATTTCGAAGCTTCTTGAGGGGGGCCATACTTCCTGGCATCTGTGACTCCTGGGTAGGAGAAAGGAGAAGCTTAAAATCTTCAAACGACTGCGCTGAAAGCTCAACCTCCTAAGCCATGAGCACAGGCTCCAGAAAGGGAGAGAAGCCTTGGAGGAGGCGGTAGCCTGACGGGCAGTCGAAGAACGAGAATTCTGGAGAAGGAAGGAAAGAAGCGAAGATAAGTGGGAAGAAATAATAAGGAAAAGTATAAAGACTGCCTTCTGGAAAGAATGGGGATGAGGCGGGAGAGAAGGGGATCTACTGAGAGAACGAAGACGGTGCCCACCCGAGGCACAGCCAGGAAAGGGAGGAACCACCGCAGCGGCCAGAAGGAAAGGGGCTGGTAGGGTTGGGTGGGAACCTGAGCCAGAGGCAGAGTCCAAACAACCGGTATCCGGTTACGGGGGGAACCGCTGAACGCCGAGAAGTCCCGGGCCAGAGAAAGCCTGTTCCTGAGGCCTCAGGGGTCCCGCTCCTGCTAAAATAGTAGCACCGACCCAGTGCTGGCGGGCCGCTCGCCACAGACTCAAGCTATTCTGGACACTAAGGTAACCGCATCCAGTAAACCGCCAATTTCTGGAGGGCCGCCCCGCCCCGCCCTTCGGGGACCTTGTAGCCGCCCCTTCCGGTCTTGCGTCTCCTCCCCCGGGAGGGGAAAGCGTGAAGGGCGGGACTTCGGGCTCCGCCATAACGTCACTTCCGCTTTGTGTCTGATGGACGGGGCGGAGTATGTGAAGGCTGGAGGAGCTGGGCGAGAACGGGTGGGTTCCGGGGCTGCCTGGTTGCCGGCGGCTGAGGTGTTGGTGCTATTGTACTTCCAGCACGGAGACCAGCCCAAATCTTTCAGGAAGGGGTTATATTGAACTGAAAAACGCTGACTGGGAGGGGGAGAGGTCCCAGCAGAGGGAAGCAGGAGAAAAGGATGGAAAGAGATGGGCCTGGCAGGGCTTCCTCGAGGAACAAAGTAAGCTAACAGTAAACCATGCCGATCCTGTGCACACCTTGTTACACTTATAAGGCTATTTAATGCATATTCTTATATTTGAACATCGCAGCCTCGCGAGCGGACACCCTCTCTGCTCCAAGCTCTAATATTATTCTGGGACACTTCGTTATCCCTGTGAAATACCCGTTCGTTCATTCATTTCACATATAATTGAGAACTTTTTATATACCAGTCCTGTTCTGGGCACTGGAAATATATAGCAGTGAACAAAACAAATATCCCTTGTTCATGGAATTTATAATACAATGAGAAGTAGCCAAATCAACACATGAGTAAGTGAAGGTGTCTGATGCTGATGAGTATTGTAGCATAAGCAGAGAAAGAAGACGGGGTATTGCAAGGAAAGGAAATGAATTTTTAGATAGGATGACTACAGAAGCTTTCACTGAAGTATTTTTTTTTTTCTTTTTTAAGGTTTATTTATTTATTTGAGAGTGAGAACATAAGCAGTGGGGAAGAACAGAGAGAGAGGGAGCCCAGTACTCCATCCCAGGACCTTAGGTCATAACCTGAGCCAAAGTCAGACACTTAACCAACAGAGGCTCCCCCACTGAGGTACTCTTGAGCAAAGGCTCCAAAGCTAACTCCCATGATCTAATGGAATAAGCTACTATAATCTTCCAAGGAGAATTAAGTGTTCAGCTAGAGGGAGCAGCAAGTACAATCACTCCAAAGTAGGGTAGTAGTAGTGGTGGGAGCTTATGGAGGTTCTCCTCTGACTGCTCCATTTTCTCTGTAAAATAGCATTATAGCCAGCCTACAAGATGGCCTCTCATGGTCTCCACCTCCTGGTATTCACACCCTGTGTAGTTCCCTTTTACACTGTACCAGTGTTGGTGTGCATAACCAATAGAATATGGCAGAAGTAATGGTATATCACATCAGAGATTAGGTTGTAAAGGATGCTGTGTTATTTCTCTCACTTCTTTCTTGCTCTTGCTTTCACTCTCAGATCACTTAATCTGAGGCCATTTGTGTCACAAGCAGCCCTATAAAAAGGCCCACATGACAAAGTACTGAAAGCTTCAGCCAACAGCCCTGTGAATCATCTTGAAAGTGGATCCTCCAGCCCCGGTCAAATCTTCAGGGACTGTTATCTTGGCCAACAGCTTGACTGCGACCTCATAAAAGACCCCGAACCAGACTCTGCACCCAGAAACTATGTGAGATAATATTTGTTGTTTTAACATGCTAAATTCAGGGGTAATTCGTTACACAGAAAGTGATAACTAATACAAGTAAGAATCAATTAATAATATATAGGAAGGGACATTGGAGGTCCGAGGAAGAAAGATAAGGTACGAAATAGTTGTCCAGAAGTGTAGAACCAAAGACCTGTACAATTGCCTGATGGTCTTAAGGACCCATGATTATGAATTTCAAGTAAGACTAGTCAGGATGGTTGAGCATTTTTTTCAGGCATATGCATGGTTAGAGGCATAAAGCAGGTGGAAAATTAGTTTTAATCGGGGTTAAGGCTTTACCAAAATATTACTATCAAGCAAGAAATGAAGATTTAAGGAGTTGAAGAGAGATTAGTGTGAGGGAGTAATTAAATGACTGACCATGAAACTTAAAATAGATAATAAGGAAAGGGAGGACAAGTGGGATGTAAGGAACATTGTAAAGTTAGTACAATCCAGAGATTGAAGGTTCCAGGAGGTCTAAGGTTTTTTAAAGCAAGATGCTGGAAAGGATGCCCTGAAAAAGTAAGAGGTGGGAATCCAAGAGTGGGATGCTTGAAACTGAGGGTGTGGAAGGGTTGCAGATATTTGTACTGTCAAAGTCCATGGTATGACTGAGGGAGGGAATGCCAAGATGGGTTAAGGTCACTGGAGAAAAAGAGGTCATAGAAATGAGGTGTCAAAGCATTGGATGGACTATTCCCAAGGTTATCAAAATCACCAAAATATATAACCAGAATAGTGTTGGTGAGAACCAGGAACAATAGTCTTCAAGGAATTTTGAGAAAAGACCTGGAGGTTGGTAGAGAAGAATAATTGGAAAGCAGTGAGTGGTATGGTCTAACAACATTAGATTCAAAGCAAGGGGTGAAGCTAAGAAAAAGGGGAGAGAATAGTTTATAAATAGCAGTGAGCAAGAAGGTAACCCATCCCATCTCCACCCAGAGGAGTAGGGAACAGAAAACAGCGCCCTTTGAAAGGGCCAGAGGGAGATTGATTGGCATATCTCCAAAATGCTCTCTTTCTCTCTCTCTCTCTCTCTCTCTCTCTCTCTCTCTCACACACACACACACACACACACACACACACACAACTCTCAGCACTGGGAAGAAATGATTAGGTGGCTCCTTGCTTTCTCTACACCTCTGGCTCCAGGTCTATGCATCCCACTAGGTTTCATATGAATCCATACTCTTGTTACATCCAGGAAGCTCACGTCTTGGGCTCTGCTCCCATTTTCTGACCTTTTCACCCAGTTTATCTTCTATATGGCCAGAGTTAGTTTCATAGCAGGGAATTATTTGCTCAGGAATGTCTGTTTTCTTTAGAGACTTAAAAGAACGTGTGTTTCTGGCACCGGAGTCTTGAGGTCCTGTAGCACAGAACTCCTCATCAGAGCTGGATTATCTCTGATGTGTTTGGCTGGGGGATCCCTGGCCATCTCTGCACAAAGCCCTGAGTCACTGGGTCCTTGGCAGCTGTCCACTCCACACAGAACTGATTGTATGATGAGCAGTGGGGGCAGTTTGCTGTTTGGTTGCTATTATCCTATTTGTGGCTGACAGATTCACACTGGTAACAGATCAGATAACTTGGTCACCAATTATCCCATGAGGGCTGACCCCAAGGAAAATTTCTTTACAGGTAGGAAACCTGCCAATTCCGGTCTCATGGGATCTGGATGTTGGGAATTCAACCCCAGGCAGCTGAGTCATACCTACTTTCACTCTCTTCCCCAAACTTGAATTGGATTTCCCAGGACTAACCAATGTTCTGGGCTATTTCCTGAAAGTAGACCATAGCACTGTCCTTCTTTGATCTTATTCCTTAGCCACCTCTCCAAATAACCTGCCTAACTGGAATCATTGGTGAGGGTCCTTCCGCCTGCCTCTGCAGACCAGGTTTTTGCAACAGCATTTCATCATAAATGTCACCAGTAGCAGATCACTCAGATGTCTCATTAGCATGTGCTATCCTGATCTTTGCAAAAGATGCTCTAATTTTGGATTAGAGCATACAGAAGTCTTTCTCCTTTCTCTTGATGAGTGGTAAAATAAAATCAACATAGGAATCACAGCGTCTCTCCACCTTCCCAAATACTGTGCCAGGATAGACCCAGAGATCCCCCTTTCAAGGAAGGACTTGTTGGCCCAGCTTTTGGGAGCATTGTTGTTTTTCCAGCCATCATCTCCTCCTTCAGGGACTGCCTTGGCTTCAGATTGCTGCCTTCCCTTTGCTTTAAGGAGCAGCCACGTCCAGTGACTGATAGATACAGAGATGTAAAGGCCCAGTGGTTTCTGCCTGACTTGGAACAACTGATGGGTCATCATTTCAGCCTCAGAGCTGCCTGTGGGGTCAGCGGAAGCTATCTGGCCTGCACGACAGCTCAGCTTCTCCCTCTGCCTACTGCTTTCTTTTCCTTTCCGCAGGTATCAGTCTCAAACACGCTCCTTGATCAAGGAGTTCTGTTTCTGAAATTCTGTTGCAGAACCTGCTTCCTGGAGAACCCAACTACTATACTCTTGGAGGGTTGTGAGATCTCAGGAACCAAAGCACTGGCAGCACTCAGGCCATATAAGTCCTAAAATGAAAACCACAGAGTCTTGATAATTATTCTCTTCCTTTCCATCAAAGACACCTGCAATATTTCAAGGAGATGGTCCAACCACAGGTTAAAAATCTTTTTATTCCCTGTTCACACTTAAGAGCCTCTGGATTAAGCTAACTCTCAAGGTTACCCTGCCTCCAGATTTTATAAATAGGGAAATGAATGATACCCTTTATCGTTGATGCAATTTGCATCAGGCTTTATACTGTTTATAATGTAAAGAGCCCTGAGATGTACAAACAGAGAGCCAGTTGATCGAGAGGAGAATGGAGCAGAGACTTAGGAAGATTCAGAGTTACCTACAAAAATTGATTCTAGGAGCTGCCTCAGTGTTTGGGCTCTCCTACTCCAGATCCTTACAATACACCTCTCCTTTGATGGTAACTTCACTGGGTTATCTGCTCTGCAAAGCCAAAGAAACTTGCCTTTGCCTTAATATAAAGTAAGTTTGGTCAAAATGATTTTATCTATCTATAGTTGTTATCTATATGATTCACCATACTTTTGACTGTTTTTGAAAATGTACTCCTAGGGCGCCTGGGTGGCTCAGTGGGTTGAAGCTTCTCCCTTCGGCTCAGGTCACGATCCCAGGGTCCTGGATCGAGCCCCGCATCGGGCTCTCTGCTCAGCAGGGAGCCTGCTTTCCCCTCTCTT